TGGATCGGGGAGCACGCCGCAGCGGTTATTATAAGGTACCTATTGAGCATTAGTGTTGAGTGTAAGCGTTGATTAATGAGAGTTGAGTCTCGAGTGACTAAGAGGCTTGCCCGAGGGGCTATATATATGAGTGATGCTTTGCCCGAGGGGCTTGTTTTTTAATGAAATTACGGATTCGACTTCTCCTTAAAGTGAGTCTATATTGAATATGTTGAATTAAATTACCGATTTCACTCATCTTAATACTTAGCCTCTATAGAAAATGTTAAACAAATGGTTTGAACAATTTTTATTGAAACTGGAGTTTTTACGAGATGTTCGTAATTTAATCACTGATTTGGTTTTGTTATTTCCTCTGGCACTTTTCCTGTTTTGAGATGTATATGCTTTATGTTTTGCCCGAGGGGTTGTATACGAACTACGTTTTGCCCGAGAGGCCGATTATGATTTTATCACTTTCACTATGAACCACGCTGAACCTCTACTGAACTGTTACAAAGACATTTTTCAAAAGATTTTTACTGAAATCAGAGTTTTAACAAGATGATATGATTTGTACCCTGTTTTGGAAACATACTGCACTCACTGTGGCGCTATGACGTGGTTTACGTTATTTTTTATTGCTCAGTCATTATTTACTTTTATTACTTACTGGGTTGGCGTACTCACATTACTCTCTGCACCTTGTGTGCAGATCCAAATATTTCTGAGCTCGGTGGCAGGTTCATTGGAGATAGTAAGGTAGTTGCACGGCGTTCGCAGTCCTCCTTCCCCTCCCTATCCTTATTATTTTATATTTCAGGCTTATATTGTATTAAGCAGATAGTGTTGAATTGTATTTAGTGGCTCATGACTAGTGACACCCCGATGTCGGGCTTGTGTATTTATTCCACACTATTCATTTAGACTTATATCAGGAGATTGTTGATTAATAAATGGTATAAAAATGACTTTTATTGAATAATGGTTAATTCGGGAGTTGTTGTCACGACCCGGATTTCCCATCCTCGGGAGTCGTGATGGCGCCTACTAATGAGAGCTAGGCAAGCCAACCCTTAATTACCTTTGTCATTAACCAATTTACCTCTTTTAACAATTATCAGTAATATCATGAAAACAACGGAATAAAATAAATAAGCGGAAGTCTTAAATTAAAGAATCTGAACAACAATGCGGAAAATCAACATAAACCTCTACCCAAGAGCTGGTGTCACATACTCACGAACTACTAAGAGTGCTAAATACAACCGTTTGAAAGAAAATATAACTATTTGTCTCGAAATACATGAGATAACAGACTGAAATAAAAGATAGAATAGACGCCGGGTCTGCGGACGCCTGCAAGGCTACCTCGGTGTCTCGCTGGACTAAAAGCTAACTCCCGCGCTACTGCAGCTGCTTTCCAACACCTGGATCTGTGCAAAGAGCACAGAGTGTAGTATCAGCACAATCGACCCCATGTGCTGGTAAGTGCCTAGCCTAACTCCGGCGAAGTAGTGACGAGGCTAGACCGGACTACCACATAAACCTGTGCAGCTATATATACATATACAGCGGAAATCGAAATACAGAGACAAGTAATCAATATGGGAAGGGGGAGCATGCTAGGGGGAAACAACAATTTCAAGTAAAAGTNAACGAACAAATTTCAAGTAAAAGTCGTCCAGCAGCGAAGGAATTAACACAACTCAGACATTATTAAAGAGACAGAAAGCAACAAGTGCACGGCATCACCCTTCGTGCTTTTACTCTCATCCTCACCAAGCAATGATATAATAAAATGTTCAATGTATCACCCTTCGTGCTTTTACTCTATTTCCTCACATATAATCAATAGAATCGGCACGGAATGGTACATCGTGCGGCACGGCATCACCCTTCGTGCTTTACTCTCTTTCCTCACCATAAGCAAATAATGCACGGCATCACCCTTCGTGCTTTACACTCTTTCCTCACAATAAACAAACAATGCACGACATTACCCTTTGTGATTTAACACTCTTCCTCACCCAAACAACAATCACAAACAAGGGGCAAGGGAATAAACAGAATAATAAAAGAAATCCCGGCAAGGGAACACAATTGAACAATTAAATCCCGGCAAGGGTACAACATCAATAATCTCAACATCCCGGCAAGGGAAAATAATCAATAAACAACAATATCCCGGCAAGGGAACAATTTAAATACTCTTTCTCTTCCTTTCACTTTTATTTCATATCTCACTTTACCACTTGAGCCAATGCTCCAAAGGGTTCAACCATTTCATAGATGTTCACAATTGAAATATAACTTGAGCCAATGCTCCTCGTTGTTCATACGTCACAATTTCCTTTCACAAGCTTTTCACAACACATAGGAATCATCACCAAGGCAAGAGAAATACAATGAAATCAAGATATTCACAATTTAAAGACTCACGGTCATGCTAGACACCAACGTGTAGATACTCGTCACCATGCCTACACATCGTACTCGACAATTACCACATAGCAAATAAGACTCAACTCCTAATCCCTCAAGCTAGCGTTAAACCAAACACTTACCTCAAACTTCCACGATCAATTCAATCCACAACAACCGCTTTCCCTCTCGAATTCGGCTCCAAATCAATCAAATATATATAATAATGATGTCATAACATCAATACATGCTAAACAAATCAAACCCAATGCCTAATTATAGATTTCCAAGCTTTTTTCCCAAAATCCCAAAAATCGACCCCGGGCTCGCTTGGTCAAAACACGAGATTCGGACCAAAATCAATTCCCCTATTCACCCACGAGCCCGAATATGTAATTTATTTTCAAATTCGACTCCAAAACGAGGTCTAAATCAAGAAAAATCAAAAAGCCCTAACCCTACCCATTTCTCTAATTTCTACCCTTAATTACATGTTTTAGGCTTAGGAATTCATTAGATGTTGAAGAAAATGGAAGGAACAAGCAAAGATTACTAACCCAAGAAGTCTTTGGTGAAGGATAGCTTCAATGGACGCCTAAGGACCTTGGAGAAGAAGGAGTTCGTGAAAACTTAATGAAATCCCGTAGCTACTGTTTCTGAAAATTAAAAATATAACTGGGCGAAATTGCCCTTCACGTTCATGACAGGCTAGTCGCGTTCGCGAAGGGTAGGACTTAACAGAACATCGCGTTCGCGGAAGGAGGCACGCGAACGCGGAGAGTAAAAATGGTGAGGCCCTGAAATTGGTCTATGCGAACGTGGAAGGAGGCACGCGAACGCGAACGCGAAGAGGAAGTCATGTAAAGCTACGCGAACGCGAGTAGGTATTACGCGAACGCGATGAAGAAAAGAAGACTCAGCCCTCAGAGTCAAATAACCCTACGTGAACGCGAGGCCAGGGACGCGAACACGAAGGAGGAAAAATTAGAGCATCGCGAAAGGAACAATGCGAACGCGTAGAAGAAACTGGGTCTGCAACAGCTGAAGCAAATCTGCAATTTTTCTAAGTTTGAAACCACTCCGAAACACTCCCGAGCCCTCGGGGCTCCTAACCAAACCCATGCACTAACTCAACAACTCCTACTAACTTAACCGTGCAATCAAATCGCCAAATAACATTAAAAACAATGAATCAAACCTCAAAATCACTAGTTTTCCTCAAACTTCATTAACTTTCAACTTTTGAAATTTAAGTCCGAAACACGTCAAACGACGTCCGATTTCAACCAAACTTTGCAGAAATATCTTAAATCACATATAAGACCTGTACCGGGCGCGGAACCAAAATATGGGCCCGATACCAACACGTTCTAATCAATTTTCATTTTAATTTTCCTTAATAATTTCAGAAAAATAATTTTACTCAAAAATTCATTTCTCGGGCTTGGGACCTCAGAATTTGATTCCGGGCATACGCCCAGGTCCCATATTTCCTACGGACCCTCCGGGACCGTCAAATCACGGGTCCGGGTCCGTTTACCCATAATGTTGACCGAAGTCAAATTTATTCATTTTAATACCAAAATTTAGCATTTTCCACACAATTTCTCATTTAAGCCTTCCGGCTACGCGCCCGGAATACGCATGGAAAACGAGGCGACTATAAATGAGGTTTTCAAGGCCTCGGAAGCACAGAATGGGTAAGAAAATAGGTGATGACCCCTTTGGGTCGTCACAGTTGTGTCGGCTGGCCTAGTTCCACGATAGGCGCCATCACGACCGGGTTGGTTTTAGGTTCGTGACATCGGCTCAGAATATCATTTATAAAATCGAAAGGAGTAAATAAGAACCGAGTTGTGAAATTAATGAAAGCATAGCATGACTGAGTGTAAATATTACCAAAAATAGTGAGGAAACAGTAGTAAAAAGCCCCTAAGGGTCCAAACAGTCGGCACAAGGCCCGAACACGGCATTCAGCCCCAAACATAGTATACTTTCTAAAATATAATAATATCAAACAGTTTCCAATTAAGTACGCGACTTAATAGTCGTACGGAATGGACCAAGTCACAATCCCCAACGGTGCACGACCCCACGCTCGACATCTAGCGTGTGCGTCACCTCAAAGTAGCACAAAGATGTGAAATCCAGGGTTTTATACCCTCAGGACAATATTTACAATCATTATTTACCTCATACCGGTCCAAACTCTAGCCCGCGATGCCTTTGCCTCTCGAATCGGCCTCAACTCGCCCCGAATCTATCCAAAATCAGAATCATAACATCAAAATAGGCTAAAGGAACAAAGCCCACGCGAAAATAATCAAATTACATTGAAAATCTCGAAATTGGCCAAACCCGACCCCCGGGACCACGCCTTGGAATTCGATAAAAAAATCATATCACAAGAATTCACGACTAGCTAGAATGAGCAAGCACAGAGCAACTCGACAGCGACAGGCGAGCAGTATAAGCCCTTCTCTTGCCTGGGGTGGGGCAGGGACATCCCTCTCTGTAAGGTGGGAAGGAGCGATTCACGACAAGGAAGGAATAAAGAAAATCAGACTAGTCGTGAGAAGGCGGAAAGGAGGGGAAGGTCACCCGAGAGGTTCAGTTGCTTGACTATTCGTTTGCCAAATCTTGTTCAGTTCCATCCAAGCTCGGTTTTGTCTGAATCTTCGTGGAAGAAGAAGAAGCGGTTCACCAGCCACTACATCTGTAGATCCCACCAAATCATTAAACCTGGCGGTTGCTCGCTCTTTGATCAGTGATTCACCGGCCACTAGATCGATGAAGAATCTCTCTAAAATCTGCTCTTTGATCAGTGATTCACCGGCCACTAGATCCAGGAATCCCACCTTATTCTCAAACCTGGTGGCTCGGTTGATTGGCACTCCTGTAGGCTCATCTTGCATACAAATTCTGGGATCATCCTTCCACGAGTCCATACATATCAAGAACATCAAAATCGGACCTCAAATGGCCCCTCAAGTCCCCAATTTAAACTCTCCAACTCCAAGCCCTAATTCCCCAATTTTAGTCCTTAAATCCCACAAATTTCATGTCTAATTAGTTAGAAATTACCATAGAATCGAGTATTGAGTTCAAAAACCTTACCTCCAGATGTTTCCCTTCGAATCCCTCTTCAATCCCTCTCAAAAAGCTTCAAAACCGTTCAAAAATGGTGAGAAATGGCCTTAAAATCGCGTAGATGGGTTTTTATACATTCTGCCAGGGTATTATTTCCTTCTTCGCGAACGCGGTCAAAGCATCGCGTTTGCTAAGCTCAAAAAAAATTCCACTGCTCAAAATCCTCTTACGCGAACGCGAGCTCCTTTTCGCGAACGCGAAGCTTCAGCTGCCAAGGCCTTCGCGAATGCGACACCTCCTACGCGAACGCGAAGAACAAACTTCTGGGGTCCCAGCTGATCCACTTTCCTCTTCGTGAACGCATCCAACTCCTCGCGTTCGCGGACCTTCCACTGTCCATACCTTCGCGAACGCGAGCCCCCTTCGCGAACGCGAAGAATAATTTTTCTGCAACAAAATACCAGAAATTTGCTTTCTCCTCAAGTCCAAAAATGATCCGTTAACCACCCGAAACTCACCCGAGGCCCTCGAGTGTGACGACCTGGCCGGTCCTCTCATGAGTTACCGCACCGTTTCCCCCATTTCTGCTTCCTTATGCTTTGTTACCCGTGTTTTGTGGTATCGGGTTGGTTGGATTGAATCCGGAATGGTTTTGGTGAAATTTGAGGCACTTAGTCTCTTTTAAGAAAGCTTAAGTTGGAAAAGTCAACCGGATGTTGACTTATGTGTTAGAGGGTTCGGATATGAGTTCCGATGGTTCGGTTGGCGATTTCCGGTTGATACGCGAGATTTTGATAAAGGGGTCGGAATAGAATTCCAAGAGTTGCAGTAGCTTCGTTATGTGATTTGGGATGTGTGTGCAAAATTTCAGGTTATTCGGATGTGGTTTTGTTGGGTTTTTTATCAAAAGCGGAATTTGGAAGTTTTTAGAAACTTAAGCTTGAATCCGAGGTGCTTTGGTTGATTTAGTGTTGTTTGAAGTGTTTTGATGATTGGAACAAGTTTGAATAAGGTATTGGGATATGTTTGTGCTTTTGGTTGAGGTCCCGGGGGCCTCGGGGTGATTTCGGAGGGTTAACGGAGCAAATTGGATTGTGTTGCAAGTGCTGAAGTTGCTGCTTCTGATATTTTCGCACCTGCGGTTTGGGGACCGCAGGTACAGCGTCGCATATGCGATGGATTGGCCGCAGATGTGGATTTGAGGAGAGGAGTCAGGAACCGCAGATGCGGAAGATGGACCGCACCTGCGGAGCCGCAGATGCGGCGAGTGGACCGCAGATGCGGTGTTTGGTCCGTTAATTGATTTCCGCAGATGCGGAGGAAAGACCACAGATGCGGTACCGCAGAAGCGGGTGGGATGCCGCAGATGCAAAAAGGACTGGGCAGAACATATAAGTTATTTCATTTCGCGAGTTTGAGCTATTCCACCATTTTTAACTTCGGCTTGGGAGCTTTTGGACGATTTGGAAGGAGGAATTCAAGGGAACTTCGTTAACGTAAGGATTTTTGGACCTAAAACACGATTCTATGGTAGTATTTCATGAATTTAGGGTTGTAATTAAAGGAATTAAAGGGCAAAAATGGAGGATTAGGGCTTGAGTTTAAGAGGCTGTTAAATGGGGATTTGAGGGGTCATTTGGACTCCGATTTTAGTATTTTTGATATGTATGAACTCGTGGGGGGATAAGGAATCCGTGGGTGTAAAAATTTCTGAATTTCAAGACGTGGGCCCGGGGGTCAGGTTTTGGTAATTTCGGGATTTGTGCCCTTTAATGATTGTTTTCGCTTGGGCTTTGTTCCCTTAGCATATTTTGACGTCCTTGTGCTGATTTTGGATAGATTCGACGCGCGTGGAGGCCGATTCGAGGGGCAAAGGCATCGCGAGCTAGAGATTTAGCCAGTTTGAGGTGAGTAATGATTGTAAATGATGTTCTGAGGGTTTGAAACCCCGGATTGCACATTGTAGTGCTATATCGAGGTAAGGCACATGCTTGATGACGAGCGTGGGGCCGTGCACTGCTCGGGATTGTGACTTGGTCCGTCTTGATTGATGATTTTACCGCGTATTTGATTGAAAACTAATTGCTATCATCATTTATTGGGCTAAATGCCATATTTGGGCTTCGTGCCAACTATTTGAACCCTTCAAGGCTTTTTAATGATATTTCCTCACTGTTTCGATTTACTACTTGAACTCAGTCATGTTATTTTCCACTGTTTTACTACTCAGCCATTTTTACTCAGTTTTGAGACTTAAATGATATTTTAAATGATGTTTGGGCTGAGAAACACTGTTTTACTATTGCCCGAGGGGCTTGTGAGGATTTTTGACTGAGTAAGGCCGAGGGCCTATGTTGTGAGGAAACACTGATACTGATTTGAGGCCGAGGGCCTGAGATATGTACGCCACGAGGTGGCTTGGTTGATATGAGGCCGAGGGCCTAGATTTGATGCCACGAGATGGCTTGTTATTGCGCTTGGGTCGTAAAGGGCCCCTCCAGGAGTCTGCACACCCCCAGTGAGCGCGGGTACCCATTGTGATGTAAGATTGAGCCCGAGGGGCTGTTATTGTTGTGAGATGTTGCCCGAGGGGCGGATGTGGTGTTACTGTGCCCGAGGGGCGAACTTCTATTTGATTACTTTCCCTTAATTACCTGTTAATTACTTGTTTACTTGTTGTAAGAGGATTTTTATTTGCCTTTTCACTGTTTCACTGTTTCGTAAATGATTTTACTGCTTCATTATAGAATGCCTTGTGTCTTACGTGTTTTCTTACTTCCAGCCATTATTTATATGCGTTACTCACTGAGTTGGAGTACTCACTTTACTCCCTGCACCCTGTGTGCAGATTCAGGTGTAGCTGGTCCCGCTCCCGAGTGCTGATTCATTCCAGCTTCAGGCGGATCTTCGAGGAGTCAACCGAATTACTTAGTTAAATTCTCATTTTAATACTCTCGAAATCTATGATTTTCCTCCAAATTTACAAATAAAAAGATAATCGCTTCAATTAAAATTAAATGATAAGCAATTAATACAAAATACTTCATAACCTTCCCAGAACCCGGTGTCACAAGTACATGAGCATTTTCTAAGAATTTGAATAAAGTACAACAGCTGTCCGGAACAAAAATGGACAGAAAGTAAATAAAATTATGAGATAGACTATACTAGTTGCGGGTCGCCTCGAGGAAATACAGCTCACCTAGTCTCCGGGTCGCCCGTGCTGCTACGCCCAATGGGCCAATAGAAATACATGTACCTGTGCAACAAAATGCACAGCAAGTGTAGCATGAGAACGAAAACAACGTGTACTCAGTAAGTATCCCGCCTAATCTCAAAGAAGTAGAGACGAGATGGCAACTTTGACACTTACTAATGGTCAAATAATAATATTATTAAAGCGATGACTCACGAATTTATTATGGACAGCAGTAGATTCAAATGAATTACTAAACAGGTAAAAGTTCCTTTTTATTTAAAGTCTCCGGATTCATAATCCATTAATTAACAATTATCTCAAGTCTGGGAGAGCAGATGGCAATATCAATAAATCTCAAGACAAGCAATTCAAACATGGGCAACTCATGCCGAGGTCGCACGGCCCGATCCAACATAAATGTAAAATGTGCACTGCCGAGGGTCGAACGGCTCGAACCATAGATGCATCTATTACCCCGCTCGTGAATCATACATGCGACGCAGTCAAATTTAAATAAACAATCATCCTGCCCTCGTACCATACATGCGACGCAGGTACACATAGAAATACATGCTCAAACAGCAAATTAAAAATTTTACGGGGAACATTCATCCCATTAGAAGCCAATTCTTTTTTTAATGATTTAAGAAAATAAAGTTTAATCCTCTTAGAAATTCATCTACCAATTCGATAGGATTTAAAAAATTCAACTGTCAATAAGATTACAATCATTCCAAGTATAGCATGCTTTTGGGTCCTAGACTACCCGAACTTACACATAATAGTAGCTACGCACAGACTCTCGTCACCTCGTGTGTACGTAGCCCCCACAAATAGGAGCACATAACCAATTATTTCACCTATGGGGACAATTCCCTCTTACAAGGTTAGAAAGGAGACTCACCTCGCTCCGAAGATCCATAACCGACATTCCACACCCTTCCGAAGACTTGAATCGATGCTAAATGCTCCATAACTAGCCAATGATTATGCAAATCCATTAATATACGATAAACTACTCATATTAATCCAATTTATAACAATTCCTAACCCCGATCGAAAAGTTGACAAAAACGCCCTCGGGCCCACGTTCCCGGATTCCGAAAATTTTCGAAGATTAAGCTTACCCATAACTCCACTAACTCAAATATGTAATTTACTCTCAATTTCATACCCAAAATCGTGGTCAAATTCCAAGAATATCAATTTTCTAGGTTTTCCTCAAATCCCCAAACTTCTACCAATTTACATGCTAAAATTCATACATAATCGATATATTTAACTCAAGATAGGTGGGATTAGCTTATCTTATCGTTGATGATGAAAATCCCCTCTTGAAACTCTCCAAGAATCGCCCAAGCCAAGAAAATATGAGAGAAAATGGCCAAATCCCGATTTTAAAAGAACCATTCTGCCTCCAGCACTTCCGCACCTGCGGTCCCTTGACCGCTTCTGTGGTTCCGCAGGTGCGGCACATCTACCGCTCCTGCGGTTCTCTCACCAGGCCCTCTTTTCCGCTTCTGCGACTCGACCGCCGCAGGTGCGGTCCCGCTTCTGCGGCTGCATGACCGCATCTGCGGTCCCTTCACTTCTGGTCCAAAACCGCATCTGCGGCTCCGCACTTGCGGCCCAAGTCTCGCAGGTGCGGTTATACCAGCA